TCGATTGAGATTTATTATATTATGTGGTTAACAAACTCATTTTAATTTTAAATATGCATGACAGTATTAATAATTCACCTTGCATGTTGTATGAATGCATTTATATTCAGATTAATTATGTCTAATCTAGTTTATCTGCTTGCTTACATATTCAATCTAACTGGACCTCATTAATATTGATTGGGAAAGGAACTTAGATATTTTATTCACAACGTAAGGGTACAAATGTATTTACTACTCCTAAACCTAATCCTTTTACTTTAAGATACCCAAGAGAACATTAATGCTTTGAATAAGTAAAATAAGGCAAATAAGATGAATTGATGCAATATTCTAGAGTTTACCTCGAATATGCTCCAAAGCTAACATTTACATTATTTTTTTTTCTTCAAGCATCATGTTAAAATTTAATAAAATGTTTTGGTGAGATTAGATAGAGAGTATGCCAAAGTACTATGTCAGACTTGAATAGCATCAAGATAGCCTAAGGAACTCCAGTATGAAATCGAATTTTGGAAAATGATTGTTTATTATTTAAAATTAGCTGGAGATCAATAGGGCTGACTTGGGTGGTAAGTTTCAAGTTAACATGATTATTGTCTTGTTACCAAACTCGTTCGACTCTGTTAGAGTGAATTAAATAAGGAATCAGTTTGAGTTCACACTCGCTAATATTCTTATAGAATTGGTAACAGATGAATGGATAATCAAGAGTATGGGCGTTCCTATCAATCTAACCTAGTCTATACCATCTTCTTCTAGGCCCAAGTGGACGGGCAAAGCAAAGAAGAAGGATGATAATAGGACTAGACTAGCATAAAACATGGGTATTCAAAAAGGTTAAAGGGAATAAGGCAGTGTAGGTTGAGGGCGAAGAAACCTGTTTCTTTTGTCGCTAACTAAAACACTAAAGGACGAACTGTTTAAGCAATGACGTGGCATAGGAAAATATACATTTAATCATTGAGCCATGTTATGTGGTTGCGTCTATTAATTCCTGATGAATAGATTCTGGAGCCACTAAACATGTTTGCAATTTATTGTAAGGATTTCAGGAATCCAGAAGCCTTGATGATATGGATATAAATTTATCTTTTGACCTGATGCCAAGGTTGTAGTTAAGTCAGTGGGAGTATTACATCTGAAATTAGAGAGTATGAGGATATTAGTATTAGAGAACTATCTTTATGCACAGAAGTGAAACACAATCTCATTCTTATTTCACTTTTGGTTTATAAAAACTGTGTTGTTATTTTGTAAAACTGGTTTTATAAAATTGAAGAGATATGCGATTGCTTCTGGTGCATTGAAAGATGGTTAATATACTATAATCACAAACTCTTAAGATTTACAGGATGTAGAAACTAATGTTGCATCTTCTAGATTGAATGTTAAGAGAAAAAATTGTTATTCCTGACTCATTGTATTTTTAGTGTCTATTTTTGGGTTGTTATCAATCAAAATAAGATTCAAAGATTGGTCAAAGAAGGTTTATTACCTAGTAAGGCAGGGGAGCCTAAACCAAACTTGTGAACCCTGTTTTGAAGGATAGATAACTCTTAGGGCTTAATCAGCCAGATGAAATAGACATAAAGGACAATTGGAGTCGGTACACACTGACACGTGTGGTCTTATGAACATCCAAGCAAGATTACTCACGTTTTAGATAAGTTTATCTGATGCAACACAAGTCTTAAACTCTTGGTATTTTCTGAGAAGGTTAAGACTGATGTGGAACACATATTAGGTAAACTTATCAAGACATTTTGATCTGATCGAAGATATGAGTATTTCTTAGGATAGTGTAAAGACTATATGGTCAATGAGGGTATTATGTACCAGTTTTCCGCAATTGACGCTAAATGTATTTAGGTGTCAAATAGGAATAACATAATTCCACTTAACATGGTTAGATCTATGATCAGCTATGCTACATTATCTCTTTCATTTAAGAGTTTAGCGTTAATGACATCGATGCGCATTATGAACTGCATTCCATCTTAGTCTGTCTCAAGGATACCGTTGAGCTATGGTTTTGACTAAATCTTAGTTTGAATCACATGCACATATGGGGTAGTCTTACACATGTGCGCTTGATATGGACAAGTAAGTTGGAAACAGATCGTACGCACGATAGATTTGATAGCTACTCTAAAAGTCACTAGAATGGATTATTTTATGATCTCAATGATAAAAGTTGATTGTTTACACTCACTGTTTATCTATAGGAGGATCATATTATGAATTATATACCTAATAACATAATGTTAGAGAATATGGTATGAGTACCAGATGTACCACATGTGAACACACTTATTATAGAGATTGAGAATAATAAATGAATTCCCTATTGATGCATTAGCATCATCTACTACACAGATTCTTGCATCGGTACATTGATGTAGTGGGAGGATTATCATCCAATTCGACAAAATCATGTTTTTAGGTGAGACCATTATGGACATCCCTGTTAAACATGAGTTGGACCCAGTAAGCTACACGGAAGCGTGAACCGATGTGGATACAGATCGTTTTGGTGAGTTACTATGAAATCAGAGTTGGAATCTATGTATTCTAATAAATTCTGGGATCTTGTAGAACTTTCTAGTAGGGTGATTCCTATGGAAGGAAAGTTAATCTACAAAAAGATACCAGAAGATTTCTTAGTGAATAAATCATGAGTGTACAAGGGAATGTCATTATTTTTCTAATTCTATATATATTGATGACATCCTACTCATTTAGAATGATGTGGAAGTTTTGTCATCAATAAAGAGGTAGTTGTTCAATTACTTTTAAATGAAGGATTTTCAGGATGTAAGCTAGATTCCTAGGATCAAGCTTTTGCAAGATCAGGGTAAAAGGAAAGTAGGCTTATCTTAATAATCCTACATTGATAAAGTTTTGACCAGGTTTGGTATGCATAACTCAAAGAATGAGTTCTTGCTTTATTGATATGGATGGCTCTCTCTAGTAAGTAGTTTTTCAAGACTATCAAAGGAGATTGAGCAAATGAGACTGGAACAATATGTTTCGGCATATGAGAGTCTCATATATGCCATGGTCTATACCAAACATGACATCCGCTACATAGTAGGGATAGTCAGTAGAGATCAGTCCAATACTGGACTTGACAACTGGTCTATTGTGAAAAATATCATTAAGTACCTAAGGAGAATCAATGATATTATACTCATTTATGGATGTGATGATATGGTCCTAGTCAGGTATGCTAGTTCTGATTTTCAATCAGAAGTAGATACTATGAGGTTCATGACTTAGTGTATGTTCACTTAATGGAATGGAAATCAGTTGGTAGATTGTCAAGCAGATTTCAACTGTTGACTCAAACCTGCAGGTGGAATATATTGCAGCCTTAAAGGTGGCAATATAAGCCTATTGGTTTGATCTCACTGATTTAGAGGTTGTGGAGCATACTAGCCTGCCTATCGAGCTATATTGCGACAATAGTGCAGAAGTAGTCCAAACCAATGACCCAAGGTTCCATAGATGAACAAAATACACTGATAGGAAGTATCATGTTCTACATGATATTATCCGGCAAGAAAATGTACTTGTAGCTAGAACATTGCATTGGAACACAACTTTGTTGATCCATTATCAAATGTGTCATTGATCAATAATTTTGATCATCATCTGGATAACATTGGAGTTAGGTGCAATTTGAATTGGCTATGAGAGCAAGTGGGAGCTGTTGGGATTTATATGCCCTAGCATAGCAAATTCCTGTTTGGATTAATTGACATATGTTCTTGACGTTTCTGAAATATTTATGTTTTATACAATTGGTGAATTCAATGTATTATATTTCGATTCACTATGAAATTGATAGTGTCCATGTAATTACAAGAAATATTTATATATATGTATGTGATGGCAATCAATGCATGATATATAAATAGTAATTATAAATTGTTCATAGTCGGTAATTATGGATGGACTCATAATTAATTAAGACTTGAACTGGATCCGCGTTAGGTTGAGATATATTGCGAGAGCCGTCGTATGCAATTACTCCCTATCACCGTCATGGCATTTGACTCTTAAGCATGAGAAAAGTATAGACTCTTTTATTAATTAATAATTACTTTGATTTGTTCGGCGGATTCTTCGGGATCCTTAGACCGACACTTTGGGTAGTTATGTAATTAATAGTTAGAGGGTTATATTTTCAATATTTGCATCATTGCTACTTGTATTTATTTTGTATTGATTATGGTTGATCACAAAGTAAATTCGAAGGCCTTCGTGTGTTTTTAGATAAAATGATTTATTATATATTTATTTATTTAAATTATTATTTTTGTCAAACAAATGTTTTATTGTGATCGAGCCAGAAATAATCAGAGGTACCAAAATAGATATATTAATTAAGTAGTCGGATTGATGGCTTTATTTATCCGATAACTAATTATGCATAGAGGGGTCAAAGTGCAATATTGACTTAGAGGTTATTTATTATTTAATTGGAGTTCAATTAATTTCTTTTAGTGGAGTAGAAATTAATTTATGAATTAATTGAATTGGGTCCATGGACCGGGCCAATTATTAATTCATTGTAGCCAATAAAATAATAGGCCCAATGGATTCTCACTCATAGCCCAACTTGATATTGGAATCATATTAGATTTGAGACATATGAATTAGAGATGGAGAAGGATTTGTTGTTTCCTTTTCTTTACCTTTATGTTGCCTATAAATATACATGGTCTATGTATATTTTGGGTGTGATTTTGATGAGAAGAAGAAAGGAATAAATTTTCTCTCTCTAGAAAATTAGAGTTTATGTTCTCATCTAATGGAGACTCCCACAAGCCTAGTTTTCCAAGGTCATTCATGGAGGCATATGAGTGATTCCTAAAGGCAAAACAATTACCAAGAAGATGGAGATCCAAGGGTAAGGCATCTTGCTAAGGGATCTACAATAAGTGAGAACATTCACTTTAGAGGAAAGTTTTAAAGGTTTACTCAGACCTTTGATGTAAGTATTCAATCCATGCATAAAACTTGTCTCTATGTGATGAATCAAGATCTATGAATCAAAATCCCTCGAAAAGTTTTTAAAAACTTGCACGTTTCCCAACACCAACATCAGTGCAAGCTCAATATAAGAAATGTTCTAAATGCGGTTGTAATAGTTTGATCAGAAGACGAGGGAGATGCCACTGGTCAGCAAATCATCCGCTAAAATTTTGTTCGTGGCCTCTGACGGATGAAAGCCATCCCAGAAGACGTACTCTGATGCATTTGCACACGTTCCCACTGACTTGGCGTTGCATAGTATCGATGTTTCTAGCAATCCTGTACCACAACATGCCTTCCTTGCCTCAAAGAAACCTACAGTGACAGCACTTTGTCATGTTAAATCTTGTCATTGCCACAACGCTGGCCTGGACGAGCTCAGGAAGCTGATTGAGCAGGCCAAGGCTGGCAAAAACTAGCAATAATCTATTACATAATATAATTATGGGAACAAACCAATTAGAAGTTTCACAGTAGTTGTTGTGGTTGTGGATATAGGCCCTCCAAATTTTACCATCAATTTTTAGTAACAAATTCTGGCTCAGCCAGGTTTGTCCCATTGGGATTCTGTAACAGGTGGGCACATGGTTATTTACCTAAAAACTCGAACTATTGGGTAGTGTAGCATACCCACCCATTTATACACACTTCAACCCCCATTCAAATCTGTTGTGGGACAAGTTCTACTTGTAACATTCTCCCCCATCCAAACCCGCAAAACACCCTCGTTGCGGTCGGACCACCCTACTTACCTGAGTACAGACCCGGACCACCCTACTTACCTGAGTACAGACCCGGACGCCCTTCGGGCCAGGCGCTTGGCGTGACATCAGATTAAAGATTGGGTTTGACTCTAATACCAACTGTAACGAGTGGACGCTTGCCCATTTACCCAAAAGCTCGAACTATTGGGTAGTACTGCTTACCCACCCATTTATACACACTTCAACTCCCATCCAAATCCGTTGTGGGACAAGTTTTATTTGTAACAGATTCCTATAAGGTAAAGATGATCAATTGTCTGTTCTGATTAAATTTAGACACTTTCAGGAGCCTTGTCCTGCGATGTCCATTGGGGATTAGGGGTATTGAGTGTGCTAGCTATCTCAAGTTGTGCAGCTTATATTCGCCTTTGGACAAAAATTTAAAATCAGGAAAAAGAAAGACTTTGAATTTCACCGTTGGACTGGTTCTAGCAGGGGACCTAATTGCGAAACTATCCAATCTTAGTCCAGCTTGAGATTTAAGGCAGAGAAGTGAAAAGTTTTTCATACCATTATCAGCAGGATCTGTGACAATGTTGTAAAGTGGCTGGTAGATATCCAAAACAACAATTTTGAGGCCGGAAAGCCTGTTTTGCAACCCTTGGGAGGTGGCATTGAGCTTATTATTGAATGAGACTGCATCTTTGTTGAATTTGGTCACACATTCGTTGCTGTCGGAGCCAAATAGTGTAATGGCAGCAGGAAGGCATCCAATTGGGGGAAGCGTCGTCACTCCAATCTTCCTTGCTCCCAACCCATATAAATCCTGTACTAAGAAATGTTTAGAAGTAACTAATAAATGAAAGCAGTAGAGTACATATTTACATACATTGTCGATTGTCAATTTGGGACATAAAAATGTCCCAAATTGGTTTTACCCTTTCAACCCTAGCAAAACTAAAAGCAACAGCTGATATTCCCTCAATCGATTCCATTTCTGAACACATTGATTCAGATTTAAGCAAATTAATGTCATTAATTCTTGCTCATTTTTTAAAGATAAAATGATACGTAGTAGGTATAGCATTATAAAGAATTGTCTACGACAGAAGTTGATGACTATAATATATACAACAGAGGGAGTATGTTATAGGTTTATAAAATACAGTACAGAGAGAAATTACATATGTATAAATTAAGTATATGTTATGTAATGTACCTGAATGAATTTTACATATGATTGTATGAGAATGTCTGAGAACTCATCAGGTGTGTAGACCTTGTAGAGAAGAGGATTGATGTAATAGTTCTGAGCAAAGTCACTACTCCCAGCACTGACAAGGTAGATTGAGCCAGAGATTATGGACGAAGCATTCGATTTCCCGGCAGTCCCTACCAGTTTCTTCTGGTACTCCTTGAAGTACTGTAATTGTTGACTCAATGGAATTGCATCCTACATCACCAAGCTCCGAATAAGATCATCATCTTAGAAAAGAATTTATATTTAGATACATATGTGTGTGTATATTATATATGTATATATTTATTGTTTATATTCCTCACATTATACTTACATATAATTTTGCAGTAGTTTCATAATATCCAGACGAACCTGAGGCAAAGTTGGCTCCAATCAAGAGGTTATTTCCCTTGGCTTTTTTGGTAAGGTATGCTGGTGGGTAAGTAGTAAAGCCTAAGTTCTCAGCTGCATTTTAGGGGAAAAAAAGAAATTGAATGCATCAAAAATTGGAGAACTCTCACTGTGTGTTGTGTGTGTTTTTGAGAGAGAGAGAGAGAGAGAGAGAGAACCAGTGAAGTCTGAGGCAAGCTTTCCATTACAGAATCTTCCAGTTGGTCTGTGATTGATAAAGTCTCTCCCATAAGGAGGGAAGTTTGCTTTGACAATGGTGGATAGGTGGTTGTTGTTGCCCACATCAACAACAGAGTCCCCAAATATGAACAGAGCTGGAACCAGAGGCTGCCCATTCACCACATACAGCACCAGAACATCAAGGAGAAAGGAAGTCAATAAAAATTGTGAAATTCCCATAATAACTTAATTAGATAGATAGAGAGAGAGAGAGAGAGAGAGAGATAAAGAAGTTGGGGAGATGGAAGAATGGTCACAGAGGAGGAATTTAAACACCTTGGAAGTTGCGCTTAGCGTGCCATAAATGGTTGTTGGCAAGTCTTCATCTTAAATAATTTGATCATTTCGAACCTATTACACCATGAGACATGGCTAAAATCTTAAAAAGAAACATGCATAAAGGACTCTTTATTTTAATTTCAACTCAAATTAAAGGAAAATGATTTTTATACCCACTTGTTGCATTGAATTGCTACACATACTGTTTTTAAATGGTTATCTATTCCATAAATAAATGTATGACTCCTACCACTTATTTGCGTTTTGCATAAATAACAAATCAAAAGTAACTCATTTAGGCGTCTATAAGTGCAAAAATTCCTTTAACCAAAATAGTTGAAAGAAATAATACAACAAAAATAACAATTAACAAGAATTATCTAGAAAAAATGCGTATATTGCTCTCTATCTTTATTGGAGGGTCTAGTCTCACAATTAAACCCAAATTTGCCATTTAACTTTACAATTTACACACAAAAAGTGATATACAAAATGGTCTTTTACTTGGAGGTGGAACACAATTATCAAAAATGAGAGTGCCCATATATGGACAAAAATTGTTGGTGGTTCCAAGTAAATTCTTTAATGGCGTGACTTGCTTAAAGCATGCCTTGAGCTGTTCTAGCTTCTACTTCACCTTCCTTGTGTCTATGACAAATTCCAGAAGTGTGGCACATGGATTTAGACACATACAAATATAGATTCACACACACACACACACACACATATATAAAATATTTATATAGGTGCAAACATCAGTGGCTGACCTTCCCATGTTGTATTGTGTGCCCTACTTTAATGTTGCCTCTAATAACTTGCATTCAGTAGCTCCAATCACCATCAAAGTAAACCTTGAAGAAAGCCATTATAATTTGTGAATTCACTAAAAGGGCTATTCCAACCAAAATTGTTGCCTTTACTGTGTGAAAGCACAATTTTCTTATTTTATTTTATTTATTATTTATTATTATATTATTAAGATGGGTGTAAATCAATATTTGGTTTCTCAATCTTATGGGCAATGATTTACTGTCTTTCTTGTTTCGTTAGCACTAAAGGATTTGGTGAGTGTTCAAAATCTCTTTGCTCTATTATTTATGTAGTGTTGTTCCTACCTCCTAATCCTGTGTCGGTTATACAACTTAGAATGACAAAAAAGAGGCTTGAAAATTTTCAAACAGTTGGATCAATTAAAGTGAACAATAGTAAAATAATATAATATGGTACTAGGATAAAAGTGATGGGATACAATTAGGGGCGGAACCAAAAATTGAATTCAGAGGAACATAGTAAAAATTTAAAAATAAAATAAAAAAAAGCAGAAATTTTTTTTTGGAAGGAAACAAATTAAAACATAATTAAATAGGGGAAATTTAACCTTTTTAAAAAGGTGATTAAAGAAATTTAAAGATAAAAGAGAAAAAATATAAAAAGTTTAAAAGAATTTTGAAAACTAATAATTTTAGGAGCACAATATACAAATTTGTAAATATACATCTGAAAAATAAAATAAAAATCTTGTATATAAATAGGGCGGGGTTAGGCCAGGGGGCACACAGGCAAAAATCACCTCGAGTCCAATAGTGCACCATTTTCTCCATTTTGGAATGAGTGGAGGAGAAATGGCCACGTCGCTTAAAAAGGTGGGTGAAAAAATTTTACTACACACTGTTTAAGTTGTATTACATTTGTGTAATAATATGGTATATTTGTGTAATAATACGGTATAGGTTATAATAATACGGCATATTGTCCATTTAGCCCTTACTTTATTTAGGGCTTTACATAATTTGTAAGGAAAGAAAAGAAGAAGAAAGAAGGAAGAAGGTCTGCGTCTGAGTCTTGGGTATGCGTCTGAAGAGAACCATCCCTACAGCTCTCTTGCCCTTTTTGTAGTTGAAGAAAACCCTAACCTCTCTTCTGCGTCTGAGGCTTGGGTCTGCGTCTAAAGAGAACCATCTCTACATCTCTCTTGCCATTTTTGTAGTTAAAGAAACCGAAACCTCTCTTGCTCTTTCTCTGATTCAAGAAAACCGAAACCTCTCTCTTGCCCTTTTTCCCATTTTCCTTTTCGGTGATTAAAGAAAACCCCATAACCTATCGCCCTAAAGACCCATAAAGCACAGATGTTATTTATTTTTGATTTGGAGCCCTGCTTTCAACAATACCAAGCGGCTGTTCAAAAAGTCTGAAGTTCTCTAGTTGGGTGAGTGTGAATTAGCTATTTTTAATTTAATAATTGATGAGCGCTGAAAAGTACACTTTTAAACCCTTTAAGCTTGAGTATTCTAGGACCTTTATCTATCTTATTTACCCATTTTAGTACTTATTTGTGTTTTTGTCTATTTCAGGTCAATAATGTTTAAATGGGCTAAAAATGGTTTCTTAAGGCCTTTTTGGAGTCAAACTAAGTCTTGGAGAGGATTCGGAGCAAAATGAGGCTGATTTGGAGCAAAAAGAGGCTGATCCTGAAAAGCTGCCAAGTGAGATCGATCAAAGTTGGATTGATCGAAAATCAAAGTTGGATCGATTGAACTTTTGCTGAAAGTTGGATCGATTGAAAATCAAAGTTGGATCGATCGAACATTGTTGGAAGCGAGCTGTCTTATTCTGTGCACGCCCAAAAGTCCACTTATCACATAGTACGGGATTAGATATTTTTGGGGCTATATTCCTGACTTAGTGACTAAGAAAAGGACTTTCTATATAAAAGGGAAGTGACCCATTTGTAAAGGAGCTTTTTATCTTTTTATTTTTTACATTGTATTTTTTATTTTATCTCTCTAGCAAAGTTAGATATTAGGGTTAGAAGAAAAGAGGAAAGTGGAGGCACATCTCAAGATCCATCTCTAGACCACTCTCTCTCTCCATCTCTAGAGCTTCAAAGAAGAAGAAGAAGAAGAGGAACAAGAAGATGGTGCCATATTTGGAGCTTGGTTCCATGACCACATCTACCTCCTCCATGATTGGCTAGATCTACACTTAGGGCTTGGATGAGCCTTAAGTTTTGTGTAATCTAAACCCTTGTATTTCAATTTTTGGGGATTTATATATATTGTTGTGATTAGTGTTCTAACCTTGTGAATTTAATGAATTTTAGTATATTTCTATGATTTCTATGGTTTAATTCTTCTTATTAATTCTCTAGTTTGTTTACATGTCTATGTGTGATTAAATTAGGAATTATTTCTTACATGATTCATATGGATTAATTCTTTCTATTGATTCTCTATTTGATTACATGTTGTCTTATGTGTGATTATTTGAGAATTAATCTCTACACTAGATTCTCTATGTTGGTTGCATGTCTATGCGTGATTAATTAAGGATTTAGTGATGGCTAAGCATGGGTTTTCATTGAATGGGTTTGTCAATTATTTTGATAGTTTATACTTATGCTTGATGGATTGTTCTACAATTTAAATCATGCTTGTAGGTAGGTAGACAATCTATGCTTGCTTAGATATTCCATGGCTTATTATTGCAAATTCCATGATTCTCTAGATTGATGTGTGCTACAATTGTTGCTACCTAGATGGGTCATGCTTAAAATTGATGGGTTGTGCTACACTTAGTTTAGGTAGACAATTCATACATAAATTAGATAGTCCATGCTTAATATTGCAATTGGTAGTCGCATTTTGTTCACAACAATGTATTCCCCATTAATGGAAAACAAGTGGTTAATTACATGAGCTTAGTGGTAATTCTAACACCGTAAGTCCTCTCTTCATATCTCTTAAATCCCTATTTCTACTTAGTTTATTTTAATTGTATTTTCATTAATTGAAGTAGTTTAATCATCTCATCAAATCTCTTTTGCAATCTTGTGATACGCTAGAGTTGAAGTTAAATTCCAATACGCATAATCCCTTGGGACGATCCCTACTCACTCTTGCTACGTTAATAGTAGTGTTGGTAATGGTTTTTCTAAATTTAAATTTGACCTAAAAGGCTTTTCTTAAACCGCACATTCACTACATCAATTTGGCGTACAAGGAACGGCCGTCGTCAAATTTTGGCGCCGTTGCTAGGGATTAACGGTTTTATTGGAATTAAACTAGACAATAGTGTTCATTTGATTACTTCTATTTTTATTTTATTTTCCATTGTATATTCTTTTCTCTTGTTCTCATTATTATTTGTTCAATTAGGTACTTGACTACAAGGAAGGCAAACTTTGGAACTTGAAGCAATAATTGGAGCTTAAAGCTAATATTAAAATTTGAAATTGCTTAAGGTCCGTTGTGAGCAATTCTTGAAACTCTTGTCTTTTAATTGTGCACTTCTTTGCATGCTTGTGATAGCCCTTGTTGAGGCTCATTATATTGTTTTATCTTTGTCCAAGCATAGGCCGTTGTTGAGGCCATTATTTGTTGCATTTGGATTTTAATTGTGAATGGAGGAATTGTTTGATCCAAGTTTGGGGGGAAATTCCATTCCTTCACCTTATGCCCCTCCATTATATTTTAATCCTTATGAGATTGAGTCCAATTCATTTCATGCATCATCTTATTATGGACTTGATCACACATTCAGTCCTTCTTATGACTATTGCCCTCCACCACAATTTTATGAAGAACCAAATCCACCACCTTCTAGGTACTCACCCGGATTTGAAGAAAAAGTGTTAGCTTTACTTGATGTGTGTGATACCCCTCGGATCCGAGACGCGGGTTGATCAGGCCCAGGCCCAAACCCGAGAGATATCAGACAATTAAAGTATTTTAAAACGAACACAGATTACAAAATAATGAAGAAAATAAATAATAACGCTGAAAGAATTCTAAATTAAAAATTCTCAAACTATAAATATTAAAATCCGATAATCTAAAACTCCATAAGTTTAACAACTCGGGAATCCATCCTTGTGGACCCCTAATAAAATCCCAAACTGAAACTGAAATAACTGAAATGAAACATAAAGCTAAACATAGAGA